TGATATCTGCGATTCAGTCTGTTTGATTCGTCTGCTACGTAGTTTCCTAAGCGAATTGGTGTCCGAATCCGCTTCCCTGTGTTGACAGAGGTATCCTCGTTATTACAAAGAGGAGTTAGAAACAAGACTTGACATGCTGTGCTGACGACTAGATCAATCAACGCAGCACCCAAAAAAGAGGCAGAATAAGCTTAGGTTTAACCTATTGAAAAGTAATACACAATAAGATTAAAAGACGAGTTCATTAGTCTTTCAGCGATGCAATCCAAGGATTGTTAATGTGCTAACTCACTACGAAATCACACCCCTTAACAACGAGAGTTGGATTACGTGAGACAATCTCTAATTGGAATACTGATGCTGATAAATACACGAAGATGTACAGGAGCGTAAAATCATCTACCGTTTTGTAGGGGTTAGAGTGACAGGGGGCAGGGGAACCTAGCAGTCGTAGAGACACATTCGTTGGATCTAACACACTAAACTCAAATGTCTAAACTTCTGCAGCTACTATGCCTTGCCAGCTTTAAGACAATGTTGACACTACTGACATTCGCATTTTGGCACCATTCATTTCTTATCCAAACAACAAAATTTGAGATTGGATTGTGAAATGGCGAGCACGTTATTACTGAACTCATAACATAACAGCCAAGAGTTAGCAAAACTGTTTAGATGATTTGATCTGAGAAAATGGGTCACATGGGAGCTAAGCGATAAGGGCCTTGAACAGTAGCAAAGGCAGATGCATGCCAAACTACATATGAATCATCAGCAAGATGAGGTTTGCATCAAGTGCCAATCTCCTGATCCCCACAAGAATATTACAGAAAACCGAAATAACTAAAGGGCACTTAACCAGGATTATCTCATCCACTAAAAGCCTCGTGATTACCATGGGAGTTAAATTACACTGCGTTTACTTAATCAATTTCAGTAGGACAATGGAGGCAAAGACATTACTTGACGCTGTCGGGAGGTAGAGGCGGATCCATCGCCCTTGTCGGTTGACGATTTTGAACGATCCTCTGTCTCCAGGTTGGATAAGAGAGGGCTCTTAAAATCACTTGAATCACCACCACAAACGACAGCGTTGGAGGAAACGGAGGGCTGGTTACTGTCGTGGGGCTGTAATAAATAACAGCAATTGCATTTGATCACGTTCAGAACTACTGGTTAGGTTTGGATATTACAGAAATAACAACTTTCAAGGCAGTTAGACAAAAAGGAGGTAAAACTACGGATCTAATGGAAGTCGCTTGCAGCAAAAACTGTTAACCATATCTCATCGTTATAACGCTTTAAAAAAAATGATGACTTTGTATCAAATGTTTTTGACATAAAGTGCTTCAGTTTGTCCAAAGTAAATCAGTTGGACCCTGAACAGAAGTTTTAATACAAACTTATGGAAAAGCTGTCCCTTTCATGAGATACCTATTCTTGTTTCGTTCATAAAAAGAGATAAATAAATTAATCCCACAATTCTATAACGTTATAAGGATAAAGTGCAATACCCTGAGGTTACTTTCCACAAATGATTGAGGATCAAGAACTGCCTTATTTTTTGAACATACCTTAAGAAGGCCAGTCCATGGAATCAGATTGGAGGAAGAGGGCAGCTGCTGGGGATTAATATGGTGGCAAACGTTTGGGCTAGATGAGGATCGCTCACGGGTAACAGCAGTGAGTAAGTGTGCCGAGGGTGCCCCTGTCGTAACACCATCACGGACACCTCGATCTCCCTCTGGCCCAACCCCTCTTTGCTCCGCTCCTGCCGCTGCAGCCGCCACTGCTGCTGCCACTGTAGCCGCTTCGTATACACAAGTCTGCGCAGTTGGGGCTGTTGTCGAACCTGTGGCTGAGATTGTACCGCTTGAGCCATTCTGAACTGCCAACCAATTAGAACTACGCTGCCCACTACACTTTAACCTAAGTGAAGAGGGGAGGAAAGGGGAAATAAAGCTACAATATGTCTCTATGTTCATATGAAGTGAGGCATGTAAGATTGAGCAACCGAGAGTAAAAGGTTATTTTGGCTCATTAGTGCATTGCGAAAAAAATAAGGAAAAAAAGCATAAGTTAACAGTTTCATAAAACCCATCTTCTGAGATTACCGGTATAGACAATGGTGAATGCTAAAAAAGGTTTTCGAACGGGACAATTAAATGACTAATTCAATGTAAATCAAGAAAATTATCAATATGGCACGGCAAAAATGATGAATAACCGAAATTCATCGTATGTGATACAAACTGCATAGTCCCCGTAGAGGACTATCTTCATTGTAGAACGTTATAAATTATATCCAACGTCCGATGTTTTTTTATCCAAGCCCGGGTGTCCCAAAAGCACTATATTTGGTTGACGAAAGGAGACTTAAGTAAAAAAGAAAATAAGATTAGCGTTAAATGGTGCCCAGCTAGAGCAGTTAAACATCTAGGTAGTGGAAATCGATGTTCCTCTGAGACTTTCGTAGGAAGTCTATCAAAGTAGCAATGAGGCTAGTCGAGCACTATGTACCCAAAATAAAAAGACAGTTGCCTTAGCCTAGTGACAAA